GGCAGTGTGCTTCAGATTACTGGCTCGACTGCCAATCAATGACGCTTTGTAAGCCGAAGTGGGCGATTTGCATCTTGAGATTTATAGAAATATTCATAGAAGAAATCCTAATTTTAACTGAGTTTTGGTCCCCATCGCTCGACCCTTGTATGATTTATCCGCCTGTTTCTTTAACTGCGCACTACTATTTGGCTCATAAGACTCAGCCAAGATTAGAAAGCGGCGAAAAGAAATCGAGGTCACAGTTTCAGCTACACTCGGTCAGTTACAGTTAATGCGCGCTTGGCCATGGACTATCCTCTCTTTATACCAGGGTCCAGGCTTAGCCCAAGCTACCCAAACAAAAACCAACGGGACTAGCCCAGTTGTGAAGGAGTAAGATACACTTCAAGTCCTATGGATTATATGCCTTCCCGTGGTAGCCAAGAATGGATGCCTGGTTCGAATTGCCATCAGTTTTTGTCTGATGAGTTTTCCGAATGTTACCCGATTATTACTATTAAAATTAAGGGATGAAACATTCTATTAAACTGAATTTTCACTCGAGAGATTCTTTAGGCTTTCAATAGCGACCATAATTAGGTATAACATGATGTTTCATGGTCTAAAGGATTCCGTGGAATCGCCCTTATAAGCTGGCTTGTAGGGCAGAACTTTTTTGAGAAGCCTTTTAGCAAAAAAACCTTGTTCTCAGTATGTTCTCAAGTCATCGAAGGCTGTATGCACTTGCTATTGGTGTTACTGGTTCCTTTGCCTGGTCTTGTGGTCGAAAAAAAATTTCCCCTATTTAGAAAGCTATTGCACAAGAGAGATTGCATACCGAACAATCACTTACTTTTTTTATACGTCCATTTAACATTTAATAGAAGTCAAACCTTGGTTAGCAGTTTGCGCTATGGTTACCATGGCTCCCTAATTTTACTGAATGACTAACAATAAAACCTATAAATTGTGTTAGCAGAAAGCAATTTCGAAGAAGCTGAAATATTAGGCGGTAGGAACAAAAGGTAAAGTATCCAATCGATCGATATCTCCACGCGAACCAAATAGCCTATCATATCATACAGCCACTTTCTCACCCCCATGTTCTTTCTGAAGAGAAATTGATGTAATGCTGTAAGCCCAGCTCCGCTTGCCTGTGTCGACATCCTGGGTCGTGCTTCGCTTCGGCTGCCTTCTAAGCTCTCCGGGTCGTTTAGTTGGTGCGAGACCTGTCTGAAAGATAAACGCACGCTGCTGCGCGTCGCCTGGCCCGCAGTTGTTGTATAGGCAGATGCATTTTAGTGCCCCTAGGAATGTCGTAACTGAAATATACCAACCATTGGTCAGAGCCATAATATAGTAGCGCTCGCTACTCGGAAAAACGTGTTAAAGCAAAACCCAAAAAACAAGCTAAGCATAAAACTGATGCATGCTGTCTTCGCTTCATTAATTTATGACTTTGTTCGCGTTTGCAACACCACCTTACCGGGTTTCAGAAATCACAAAAGGATAGTGAACCCGTTTAGAAATCATCCTTATTCCCAATTTGATACACTGATTATAATTCGCAAAACTACAGGGCCCCCCCCCCTACCCCCCGCCCCCGGGGGCCCCCCCCCCCCCCCCCCCCCCCTCGGTGGAGTCAGTTCTAAGATGACGATTGATTCGAAGACTCATTTGCAGCTTTTACCTCTACATAGTTTTCGCCGTCTTTTGATATTCAACATCTAAGCGTACCATATCTTAGTAACACTTACAGTATAAAGAGAATCCAAACAATTGTATTGTAGAGGCAGAAGAAAATTTTTTTAAACATGATGTAGTAAAAACCTGGGTAATAACTTGTATCCCTGAATTCGTAGCTCGAAAAAAAAACCCTAACGATAATATCTCACACCCGATAGATGCCTGCCGCCATGCTGAACAGATTGAATCAACAGAAAATGCTTTATCCTTATCCTTTATGTTTTTTTAATAATATGCCTTTTGACAGCCTTTACGACATCAGCCCATGTTCATACATTTCGCATCTGCTCACTTCATTCGTGCTTGTCGGGTCCTTTCTACCTGTTCACTGTGTCTTCTATATCGTCGACGGGGGCCTGGTGACCTCTCTAATCTTTGCTAATCACGATTAAACTACTATTTCCGTCTTGGAAAAACGCCTCCAGAATTCGAATCAACCCCGAAGGGCGTTCCCGCGTGCGGCTGCGTCACGGTCTCCATCCGCAATGTATGTACTAATTATCTGAAATGGCTAGAATAACAAAAATCTGCGAAATTCAAAATTTAACAAGCATTGCCATATCCAGGAAGATTTGCTCGAATCCGTAACAAGATCCTTTCCATCAAATACGAGCCACTCCCAAATCAAGGATAATCAATTTTCATTGAGATTCACCTGACGTGGACCTTGTCAATTACTTGGATTTAATAATATCTCACATGAATTTCCTTCGATATGACCCATTTTCATCTTGCTGTTGAAATTCTGCGATTCACTTCCTATTAGTTCCTCTCATATTCTCCATTCGCTGTTTACGTCTACTGCTGGTTAAAGGCAAACCCCGGGATTAGCCCGACTAGTAGGAGGGATACCACGAGGGAAATTGTAGGGTCCGTACCTAACCAGATCACTCCAGCTTCTTCGCAAAAACTGCGCGGTTAGGACGTTAATCTTTACGGGCCTCTAACCATCGACCCAATTCCCAACGCTTCTCACCCACCGCGAGAGGTGGTGAGATCAGCGTGCTCTCTCAAGCGACGTGCTATTTCGTGTATTTTGTCTTCTTTGACCACCCTTTCTCGCCATCGTACCACATCCGACCATATTGAAGGTTAAGCCCTCAATTTCAGCGCTCCCAAAGACTTCTCTTGCTTTCCTTTCCACTTTCAGGTCGTTCCGCAGCTAAGCTATCACTACAAAGCGCTGATAGCACCAGTTTAATCCCGGAGTTTGCCTTTAAGGTTCGGTGCTATTTATAAGGCCCAGTAGCCTGGTTGCCACGACCAGACTATGGTCGCCCGGTGATTCTGTGCTGAGCGATGTCCGTGTGGAATTATTTACGCGATCCTCTATTGTGTTCCGACACGAGCTTAACAATGGAGCGTCGAAACACTGCCACTCGAGAGATTCGAACTCTGGTTTATGCATCCGATTTGAGCCCACAGGGGCCAAAGCAAAATGTGGCTATCTGGTAATCACATTTGGACTAATAGTATAAAAAAGGCAAAATGCTCGACAATCTGATACTTTCATCTCAAGCCAAAACCCTTAATAAATTTTGCGGTATATCTTAGGGCTACTCTAGGCCAGGGGTGGGCTATGGTAAGTAGCCGAGATGATACAATTGTGTGGTAATGAAGCTCATGCTACTCATTACAGATCTCCTGTCGTTTGTTGTTCCTCATCCAACTTCGCTTCCTTCGTCTGGCTACGTTCAGTTGGATGCTGGCCGAAGGAGTACACTTGTATCGTCTGTTAATCAGTGATAGCGGTGATAGCGAGAATCTCACTATCTACAAGCTGCTTTGTTGGGGTAAGCTCCAGTCACTTCTTATATAAGAATTGTAAAGTTGATCATATGATGTGCTTTGTATTCAAAAAAACCCTGTCTTGTTGCGCCGCGTTCGACGCCCATTTAATATTTGTAATTGAATTTATGTGTGCATGCATGCCTAGGCAGTAGTAAAGCGTAAAGACTTAGCTTTTTCGTATCAAGTCTAAAAGCAATGGAAGCCCTGGTGAGGAGTGGTCTTCGGCGTAGCCCTTATCTGATCACTGACGTGGTGCAACGCGCTACACATTCATTTGCACGTGCCTCGACCTCGGGAGATGCGTTATATGCATTAACCTATGCGACGCGGCTGCCACCTTGCGAAAGAACGCCATCATGCGAAGAAAGATAGTAATCTTCCATTGTTATAGCATTCGCTAAGCTACAAATAACAGTTTCACTTTCAGAACACAGCAATATATCACGTATTTGCAAGTTGTTAAATTGATTAATTACTAGCACTGATATAAAGAGATGACAAAAACCTACGCCAGGTGCAATTTATAACAATCGCGCAATGGGTTAAAGGAGCTGACGTGTTCCAAATGGAAACTTGCTTTCTTGGGTAAAAAAAAGTCCGAGGTCAATAAAATTTCTGATGAATCATCATTCCATCTTATTATTTTGGAACCCCTTCATGAATATTTCACAAGTATCGATAACCGACAAAATACCTTTATATCTCTTATTCTCTTGAAGCTCTTTGAGAATTTCTACTTAGGATGTTATTGTCTAAATCTGCTCTTTAGTCCCATATGATTTAGGCGTCCAGCGGTGATCGCTGTTGCTACGGTGTGCTGCGTGAGAGCCTCGGACAACAAGGATGTGGTGTCGCCTTCGTGTAATGTTGGATAGTACCATATCATTATTCTGTATACTAGCACTATCTTGACGTTCTGAATATTTCTGAGTTCTATATTCTGCACCAGTACGCAACATTCCATGTGGGCTGATCGTGAGGGGCAGCCGTCGTCGCCCAACACTGCATCGTAAACGAACTTCGTGCCAAAAAACTATCCTTCCACTGTAGATCTCATAACCTCGCCTTTTCGTGCAGCCGCACATGGCGTCTTGTTAGCCGAACGTACTCACAATCTCCCGACGTAAGCGAGTCCGACCACAAACCCGGCATGCCATGTCCAACGACCGCAATGACAGGACTAGTCGTTGAGGGAATTCTTTCTAATCAAAGAGGAAGTTCAGGGAAGACGCTACGCCCAGCAAGTGCAAGCGTCGCTTCTCGAAGAGCGCAGCAAATGAGCGATTCATAGCTACAACCGCCTCATGATCCTGGTGCTCACCGCTACAAATGTGTTAATGTCTGCGTCTCGCTCATCTCTGTGTTCTCTCGTTTCCTTGTCTACTTTTTGCGCCTGCGTCTTGTTTTCTTCATACGCTCGTATCCTTTCTCTTCTCTTCGCAGAGTGGTGGATCTTTCAAACAAGGTGGCCTTCATTTTGAGCATTCTCTGCGTTTTCTTTCCCTTCTTTCACTTTTCACTCACTCACTTCTTTTATCTTAATTTTCGACTGCAATAACCTTACCTGTGAAATCCTAGAATTTGCCTCCCATCATGGAGATGGGTGACTGGTGCTACTTGAATGCCCAAATCACCTGCTAACATCTGTGAACTAAAATTTGCTGAAGCTGAGACGTTTTTCAGGTGAATGTTGTGCTGATGTCACGGATACTGTACATTTTGGTGAAAAAACTCCAGCATGATCCACATTTGGAGCGAATGCAGTATAAGTGAGTCGGTCTAGATAGTATTAGTGATAGGACACGTCCTCGAATCTTACATATCTTTAGAAGAATACTTTTGTTTTTCCTGAACGGACTTCTACCGGTCCACACCATGATTGCTTAGCTTGAAAAAGCGTCATTACTTAGGGAAGCGTTGTTAAAACTGTTAGTCACTTTCCCATGGCAATGTGATCGCCCACTGCTAATCTATGGCCAGAACTGACTAAAGAACGAGGAATATCGAGCTAAGATAATGAATGAAAATAAAATTAGTTGAAATAAAGACAGCAAAATAATGCGCACAGCGATAATCAATAGCTTCTCTGGAGCGCGCCATACATTTGACGTCCATTTTGCATCGTGGAGATTTTTGTGTGTATTCGATCCATTCAACCATTTCAGTCCTGAAGAAAAGTCTACTAGTATGTGTTCAGCTCTTGATTTTGTTTGTCAAATGCCATCATTTTTCTGATTTTCTGATTTTATGTCAATTGCTATATCTATTGCATTTACTTTGTACATCTTTACTATTTACATTACATAATATGCGGAACGAAGTCCGATACTTTCATGGTGAAAATGTAGTTCGGGGGGGCCACCCTATCTAATCGAAGTGAAGCTGCGAAAGACACTCATATCTAACCAAAGTAGAGTTGCGGGAAGGCACTTATATCTTATGTCTTTCACTAACTAGGGAAGGATGAAGGGTCAAAGTGGCCATATGAAATACAATACAATGAGTAATGTGATTCCAGACGCTGGTCTGAATCTTCTTCCCAAATCTGCCAAACGAATTAGCTGAACGGAGTTTGCATCGGAGGTTTCGTTCCCCTCAAAGGTATCAAAGGCAACAGTGCAGGCTCGTGTTTTGGGGCATTATGGCCTGAATTGGTGAAAGAGATGGATAGGTGAACGACAAGTGAAGAAAAAACGCAAAGAAACCGTCGCAAGCCCAGAAATCGAAACCTTTCCTTGCCAGAGTGAAGGAGCTTGCTCGGGGAGAGCCAGTCCAACGCCTTTATTCCATATACCAGCCGTCTCCATCGTTTATAGGGACTCAACTAACTGATTTCAACGTTATCAGCCACGCACCACATCGTCCGATGGGCGTGCCCCAGCTGTTGTACCAACTCATGCTATAGAGTTGTAGGCGCAGAACCATTTGGACGAGCGCGCATCTCTAGTGCGGAGCTGGGCACACCCTTGAGAGGCATTTCCTGGAAATTTTAGTGATGGAGGCCTTCTATGGTCACCTAATCCTGGCGTGGCTTGAGGGCATGTGGTGGATGGCTTCAGCCAGTAGCGGCTTGTGACGAGCTGATCTATTCAGATCGGTGCTGGTGCCTACCTTTATAGTTGAATGGGCTTGGGATGTCGGGCAAAGTAGTTCGGATCCGCAGCGCTTGTTCGTCCTTTTGCATTTTTGTGACTGACTATTTTGCGTAGTGACATGATTCCTTCATATAGATCGCTGCTATCTTGCTTTTGGATGAGTTCGAGTCGATAAACTTCGAATTTTTACTTTACTTGCACGACACTAACATAGGGTAAGGCGAATAAGTATACGGAGGCAGCGAATTCCGAGTTTGTGGTAACACGAATGTGAAATCTGTGTTCAAATAGTGCCAATAACTCCTGAGGCCCATTTCTAGGAAAGATTGAGCTTTTTGATTAACTTCAACAAAGTGGCGAATTCAACTCGATTGATGCTAGCAATCATGCCGGGTATTCCGGGACCTAATGTTTGGACTACGGGACCTTTTAAATTTGAAAATTAGAAAATGAAAAGTGTGGGTGTTGAAATCATCGCGAACAAAAACTCAACTGCGTTTAGCACTCTCAAAACCAAAAAAAGTTATATCGTTTCAAGCTAATATGGTTTCGATGATATAGGCTGTGATAATGTGATGGATCCCCGCCAGCATTATTTGAAATTTGGTCGCAATTCTCAATATGGCTTACAAACTTGTCCCTGGGGTAATTAATTTCCGGAACACGGATATCACACTCAATTGCTGCAAAAACGTCTGCCAGAGCTTTCTGTTGGCTCATGATGCAGTCTTTAGTTCTGTGGCTCCATAGCAGTCTTTATAAGTACCGCGGAACTGATTAGAAACTCCTCGCAAATCTTTGCCGCAGGTAAGTACAGGTCGATCATTGACGAGTATGGTAGTTTGGGGAGCTTTCCCATCATATTTTTCAGAAAGCAAAGAGAACGCCAGGGAATGTCTCATACGTCTTGAACGTGAACCTGACAAAACATGTCATCTACTTTCCTTCATAATCCATTCGAAACAACGTCGTTTTGCCAGTATTTGAAAACCAGATTCGAGCGAGCGTCCAGCCGCATCCCCGGGTGTAGGTCTTCTTACATATGGACCATTAACTCAATCATTGTTCTTGTAAGACGTACCACTGGACTCGTACGCTTACCCTTGGTCATTATGGGTTAGGGGCTAAATGGCTCTACCATGCTGGCTGCTTCATTTCATCAACTTATTGGCTGCCATGTAATCCTTGAAGAAAGGCTCCCAGGTATCTCGTTTGTTTGAACCTAACGGATTAGTGTATCCCTATCGATCTAATACAACACCAGAGACTGTGCTCGGATGGTGATTAGTATGACGCTCCTAGCACAGCTCCACTTCAGATAGATTGGCAGTCGATTATCTATTAATTGAGTGCCGCCCCCCAAACTACATATTTCACCACTTTTCACTTCTTGCTGTGGTATTGTCGGCTTGTCGGACAAAAATTTTGTGCAAACTTTTACTGAATAGATCATGTGAGCAGGAATTTCGACGGGCCGTATATTGTAAATTATCCGGCAGAATTTGATTCGAAAATGAAAGCCCGATTGCTTGGCAGCAGCTTCTAATAATGCTTCCGCTTGAGAATTGGGGTCCATAAGTGAAAGCCGCTTGAAAGGAAATTGAAAGGAATTTCCGCCTCCAATTCCCGCTGATACAAGAATTCTTGATCGAAGAGTGTACTGGCCTGATTTGCCTTATTTAAACCAAGCAGCAGTGTCTGTTCCTAAAAAGCGTTTAGCTTTTTTTTTTTCGAAGCTGGTTTGCTGACGATAGCTTTGTATGCGAGATGGTTTCGAATTTATCTTCCTTTCACGTTCAATTACACATTTCGGCACACTGATACTGATCGTGAACTTAGGACCGACGGCATCTCCAGGCTTATTTATATTGCTAGAGCAACAAAGCATCAGGGATTGAACATCTAGTGAAAGCAACAAGATCATAAAACAAATCTTGTCCTGCGATTGCTGGACTGCGAATGTATAACCATAGAAGAGAAGCTATCAAAAAAACGCCGGTGAACCTGTTGACCTGATGTCACTTGATTCGGAGAAGATCTAGTCATAATATTGTCGTTTTCTGCAAGTGCCATCACAGTGTGAAGATTTCAAGATATACCATGAATAAAAAAGGAATTACCATGAAAAGCGTGGCTTTCAGCACGAGGTGGCCTCGTACGTCACTTGTAAGCGCGCAAGGTAATGGCGATTGGGGCGGGTTCGATCCGCGTCTAGGGCAAAGTTTTGTTCGTAAGGCTCATTCTGTGACTTTCAAAACGTATCCATCATGTTGAGGCAGTAGGACCTTCAAGAAATCATCTATACGTTTTTTTCAAATATCATTGATTGAGTATTACATATAATTAATTTATTGTATCTTATCGAATATATTTGATATGTTCTGTTTTATTTGCATTATTTATATACTCACATATATTGTTTATATTTTTTGTTTTTTAATATATTATATATGTTTATTGAATTTATGGATGATTCATCTGTAATTATAGTTGATTTATTATATTATATTTATATGTATGTTTTTCGACAATATTGTTACATCTCAAATCGTGTTACAATTGTAAGTGTGGTTAGAAACTTCTTATGTATAAGCTATCATAAATTTGAAAAAGGCCAAGACATGAAAAAGAGTGTCCAATTAACATGAAGCTGAATTATGACAAAAATTCGCCTCCCCCCCCCCCCCCCCCAAAAAAAAAATCAAAGCCACGTAAGCTGACGGTTTCGATTGCCGCCAGGGCGAAAGTTCTGCCCATGATTCAGCATTCTTATGGACATATTCGCTAGACGCGTAATCGGGCCTTAAAAAAGTAGTAAATAATCAAAAACATTCAGAGAAATGTTAACTGTTCTGGATTTTGGTAATATTTTTGGTATTTTTATGCGTCACGTGATTTCAGAAAAGCTGTGGGCGAGCGGCTTGGTGATTCTGATACCGGTATTTGCGCCTTGTCATTCTCTTCAATTCTCCGCCTTCCTGATCTTACACATACAGTGCATTATCTTGTGTACTGCGACGGTTACAAGGTAACTCCATCATTATAACACATCGAATCTTTACACATCTGACCAATCCCACATTGCTTATGCCCTACCGCCGGCTTTATTTATTCAGTACCACCTTTCAAACATGAATCAACTGTGGAAGATCATGTGCCAGTACTGGACCATAAAGGGTTACAGTAACCATTGACGATCCTCCCGATAAGAAGTTTTGAGGGGTTCAGTTGAGGACGGCCCGGGCATTCGAACTGTGCGGTTCTGGCTATATGTTAGATGTTAGGTAGTTGAAAAAAAGAAATGAGTTCCTCAGATACGCTAGAAATCAAGGTTCGCTCACCTCGTAATGCGACTGTGCTAAGACAATGAGAAACTGAGTGAAGATCATTGATTCGCATACCCAAGAAACTCGTCCAAGCACGCCCTCCACCCGCCTCAAGCTGGAAATGTTGCTGAAAGAGATGAGGCCTTACTGGGGGCACCATCGGCAAATTCTTTTGCTTTCTTTCTTTTTCGAACTCCTCCCCATCCCGATTTTCATCGTTGAACGCTCCTACAAACCCATTTTATCCCATGATTTGCCTATAAGTACCGCCGCGAAATATTTTGTACATTCTGACACGCTTTCGACTTATTTTCATTTTTGACACCTGATTTTTTTTCAGGGTTGTGCCGTGTCAATAATCTTCTGCTACACGAATAAATCGGTATGGGATTGTGCTCGAAAATGGTGGAAAGGCGTATGCGATACACGTTCGGTGAAAGCGGATATTCGAGCTCGAATGAGCGTACAACTCGAGACAAAACTGCCGCTCGTCGATAAATCCTGAATTGTTTATCAGTTTTTATATCTATTTGGAAATTCGATACCCAATAAAGAGTTTTTAATAAGTTGCCTGCGATTCATTTCACGGGACTACATATTGGTCTATTCTTCCAACCTGGTCGGCTAGTTGTTTAAAAGGGGCTTAATAAGTCCTAATGAATGACGAACAATTGAAATCCTCCAGAACCGTATAAACTGAGAAGTTTAAAGTACCCGCATTGGAAAAAGAATAGCAGTAAAGAGCGGTTGATCCAGCCATCTGAAATCAGACGAAAGCAATTTTAGCGGTAGGCATTCAGAGCAGGTAGATCGATATCAGCCTTTTTCATCAGCTAGCTCCCCTACCCTTATTTTGCTTGCTTTGCCTCTGAAACTGCAAAGACATCGTCCAAGGCAATTTGTCCCTTTCACTACACATTCATAGTTTATTAGACAGGACACTAGGCGCGATGCTTTCATAGTTCAATTCTGATGAATTTAATTTTTATGGCCAACAGTCGTATTGTGTATTGTGAGTTGAGGGTTGTCTACAGGGTGGGGCCAAAATTATGAGACCAGCCATTGGTCGGTTAAACACATATCGCGTAGTTGAAAGAAAAACAAACTCAGGGATTATGTTGGTAGCTTATCTTCGAGTACTACAGAACGAATTGAGATTGCACCTGCTCGTTTACTTAGGCCTTCAGATGAAGGGGAATAAGCGTTGCGGCGGCCCACAACTGAGGGAGTCAAAATTGTTCCAGGCCTTATGCTTTGTTTTCTTCAGGGGATCGCAAGTTTTGTGGGGCATTTATTTGCTTTTCTCAAGGTTGTGAAATACAGGATTCTGGAGCTGTTAGGTGGAGTTTCCTTGAACAATTCTTCGGAAGCGCTAACTCGAAAATCGCTTTTTCGGGAATTTTTGCTTTATATTCTTGGTTGCTCGGTCCTGTAAAATGTCCGCAAGGTAGGCTACCGGTGGATTTCTTGCCACTTACAGATTGTGGTAGTCTCTAGAGTGGTCTGGTCTATTTTCACATCATTTTGTCACTTTGAGAGTCGAAAGCGACATAGGGGGGAGACTGTTTCTGCATCTGTAATTATCTGGTTGGTGACGGGGGGGATCTGTAAACTTTCTGGGTCTCCAAATTTCCCATCTGTGGTGGTTCCAAACTTGTTGAAAAGTTGAACTGTCACCCATAAGAGGTTCCTTGATACATTGGACTGTCGCTAGATGTAGCGTTTCAGAGCCCTCAGTGAGTTCAAATTGAGGACTGACGTAAGGAGATATTGTTATTTCACTAGTTTCGAGAGCTATGAAATTTGGTTTCATTAGGAAGAAGACATTGTACCCTCTCAGATAGTGCACGGAAAAGTAGATAAAAATGGAGCGTTTCGCAATAAAGTAGAAATGACCGCGCGCGCACGCGGTCCCCAAATTTTGGCCCACCCTGTATGTCGGTGTGAGCGAAGGGGCGTTATAAAAGTCTCACTCAGAAAGGGACGTCATTGAAGTGACAGTTCAATTGGTCAAGTAATAATATGAGTTAACACAAGCTGTTCCTAAGCAGCGACAGATACCGCCCCAAACATTTTCTTTTTTCACCTCTTGTTCAACAGCCAGAATTTCTTCCCTTTCCGTGGTCTCTGTGAAAGATGGACGGCAGCCTTTCATTCTCTAAGGAATCGGGGTACAACTTCACAACGGACTGAACCATTGGGTTATAGTGAGTACAAAAGCCGAGAAGCTCATGGTTGGGACCACAGATGTTCCTATGTTCCGCTCTTGTTCACATTCGCTTTCACCGCACAAGCAATGCATTTATAGGAATACTCTTTCCTCCCCTATGAGCTACCAGTTTGCGCCGCACGCGTTGCGCGCACGACATCGCTCTGCGACTGTATGCGTTGGTGCGCCGCAAACCCTCAAATTTGGCCGGTTACACTACGAATATTTGAATTTTGAGCTGAATTCTATCCGCGCCATCCACCGACGGCTTCTGACTTCTTCTTCGTCCACCATTGTCATTGACCTCTAACCACTTTTTTCCTGGTCTTCAGGAATTCCTGGGAAAAATCATAACTTTGACGCAAACTATGCCCGCATTGGCCCACGTTCCGCAAACCAATAGCAGTCGACCTCCCTTCCATTTTGGAACTCGATCCATTTTTTCCCGGTCTCCAGGACCTGCTGGGACCGAGTTATAATGTTTTGTGGATAGCCCCGCCTTCTTTGGTGCATTCCCCGCCCACCAGTAGCAGTTAGCTTCATTTCCTTCCTGCCCTCTACTTACTTTTTCCCCGTCTCATGACTTCTTGGGACCGAGTTATAAATTTACTAGCAAACCCCACCCACTTTTGCGCCCGCCGCGACCACCTCTGGCATCCAACCTCTCCTTCTTCTCTAACCTCTATTCACCTTCTTTCCGCTTTCCAAAAATTCTTGGAACCAAATTATGGGGGCTTGTAGGAAACGCTTTTGCATGCTGGGAACTCCCTAGACATTGCTGCGCTACACCGATTTTTTTCTGCTCTATAGACTTTCACTCAACCGAGCTGTGATTTTTTATATTAGTTACGTGACTACTTAAACTCTCCCCTGTGTTCTCTGCTGCAAAAGGCCAGAGCGCAGACGATTAGAGAACGGCGCCTGGCTCGGCTCGAAAACCCAAGAAGGAAGGTGACAACCCTAGGACTAAGCCTTGGAGGGAGAAGGGACTCCGGATTGAGTCAATAACATTGTGGCAAAGTTTGGGTTTCTCAGATCACAATAATCATAAGCCGCTGCTTAAGCGAGAGAGCGCAGGTGAGAGCATCGAGTCGACGCGGTTTGGAGTACTGAGTTCAAGTTGTCCGTAGACATTTTCCATTAAGTACAGCCTACAGCCTTTTTGAAGGACCCTCTCCCCCGCCCACCGAGGATGAGTTTCCCTGATTCCATGTGACTTACCAATGCGTACCTTTTCCTTAGTTTCGAGGCTGCTTTGTTATGAACTTGAAGTCTTGGTTGTCAGTTCAGTTCGTTTCGATGCACGCCACGCCCACTGGGGGCGGAGCTCCGCTTAGCTGGTGTGTTCACTTCGCGAGACTTTGCCCACCCACCCCACACTTGACCCGGTTCCTCCAGGTGGATCCTAAGGAGCTAGTGAATTTCGTTTATGTATATAGCTGAGCTGAGGGTCGTACCATGGTCATAGACAAATTTCGATAAAGACCCTGTTCAGTTCTCGAGGAGTGAGGCAGTAAAGGGTAAATAGTGCCCTCATTTCTTCAACGCTCTTCGACTTCTGCATGTAATATGAATGAGGAAATCCTCCACTTATGCAATGCACGTAAATGGTGGAGCATTTATAGCTAACTAGTCCGGAATGTTAGCCCTTATACTCGACGGTAGCAGCACGAAAACGCTTTATCAGAAAAAGGGCTGTGTACTCACTTTTGTGATCGCTTCTTCTGCTTATTATAGACCAAATCAAGGAGTGTATCCAGGCAAATTGGGGAAATTGGCGTACTCAAGTAGCTCTTATTCACTTTTCCCGCTTCGAATCCGTGGTCAATCCGTTTACTTCGTTTACTTGTGGTCTCGGCTCCCTGCGAAACTCGAAGCGTTCTCGCTAACCAAGTCCCTTTCTAGAGAGAATATTAATCGTACTCACAATCCGCCCGATACCCATCGCCGAACTTGATCGGATTCTCTCCCTGAAAATTTTCGTACCAAGTGAGCGAAAATGGTGACATGGGCCAGTTGTGACTTGAACGGGACACCAAGGTGGTGGCATAAGCCATAATTGCATCACCTTTATGAGAAAAACTTCGATCGAGTTTAGTGATGGGTACCATACGGATGGTAGGTTCGAGTTGTATTTTCTTAGAAGGAGACTTGCTTAGACTGAGCGCTTCGAGCTTCGCAAGGAGCCGAGACCACAAGTATATTTGACCACGGATTCGGAGCCGGAAATTGTGAATTAAAGGGCTCCTTGAGCACGTCAATTCCCCCAGCTTTGTCTGGATATACCCCTCGGTAAGTTCTATAATCAGCAGCAGGAGCGATCGCAAAAGTGAGCACACAGCTCTTTTTCTGATAGAGCGTTTTTGTGCTGCTACCGTCTAGAATAAGGGCTAACATTCCGAACTAGTTAGTTATACATGCTCCACCATTTATGTGCAATGCATAAGTAGAGGATTTCTTCACTTATATTGCATGCACACCGTAGCTGAATAGCGGTAAAGTAATGAGAAATTCCAAAGAAATTTTAGGAAGGCATAAGCAATTGACGCGGCGCATTTTCTTCAGAAAAGAAGAGCAATTCAAATCCACGCGTTGACTATTGCCATTCCTAGTTCCGACGACGAAGTCCCAAAAACATTAGTTGTTAAGCCGATTTATGTGCCGATTTACGAAATTTCCAAGTAAGTCAGAAAACTGAAGAAAAAAATCAGGAGTGTCATAAGCAATTGACACTCACTATAGTTGCTGCGCTGTCGTCAAGGTGTTGGTGGGGTATCATCTGTATCACCTGTCGTCCGGTTGATCGTCGATTTGCTCGAGCGGGCGCCAGCAACTTCTCCATTCGTCCCTATCGCGTGCTAGAGTGGTCCAGTGGATCCTCCTTGCTAGAGAGACACTAAGCCGTTCATTCCTTTCGATCAAAGCTTTCGTGAAGAAGTCTGACCATCCGGCCGGCGGTCGTCCAGGTGTTCGTTTGACGTTCCGAGGGATCCAGTCGGCAACCGCTCTGGTCCAGCGGTTATCGCAAAATCGTATGACAAGTCCAGCCCACCTTATCTTCGATTCTTTGGCGAAAATGGCAGCGTCCCTGATCTTCGATCGTTGGCGTAGTTCCAAACTCCGGATTCCCCTCTGCACTTGCGTGTATAGGGTAACTCCTAGCATCGTCCTCTCGACAGCGCGTTGGATAACGCTGACCGCATGCTTGTCCTGCCTGCGCAGAGTCCAAGTCCCTGAGGCGTAGGTTAAAGCAGGAAGGACTGCAGGATCGAAGAGGTGGGCACGGAGCCGGATGT